CTTCTCTCTCTCTCTCTTCTCTCTTCTCTCTCTACCCTCTCTCTCTCTCTTTCTCTCTCTCTCTCTCTTCTCTCTCTCCTCTCTCCTCTTCTCTTCTCTCTCTCTCTCTCTCTCTCCTTCTTCTCTCGCTCTCTCTCTCTCTTTCCCTCTCTCTTCTCTCTCTCTCTCTCTTCTCTCCTCTCTCTCTCTTCGCTCTCTCTCTCTCTCTCGCTTCTCTCTCTTCTCTCTCTTCTCTCTCTCTCTCTAGTATCTCTCTCTCGATCTCGCCTCTCGATTCGCTCTCTATATACTCTTCTCTCTATATCTCTTCTCTCTCTCTCTTCTCTCTCTCGCTCGCTCTCTCTCTCTCTTTCTCCTCTTCTCTCGCTCTTCTATCTCTCTATGAGCTCTATCGCTTCTCGCTCTTTCTCTATCTACTTCTTATGCTCTCTCTCTCTCCTCTCTATCTCTCTCTCGATATATTCTCTCTGCTAGCTCGTATCCTATATCTTCTCTCTCTCTCCTCTGTATAGACATATTCTGACTCGCATCTCTCTCTCTCTCGATCTCTCTCATCTCTCTTCTCTATATCTCTCTCTCATCTCTCTAATAGTATTCTACTCTATCTCTCTCTCCTCCGATCTCTCTCTCTCTCTCTCTCTCTATCTATCTTCTCTCTCTCTCTATTATCTCCTCTCTCTCTCTCTCTACTCTTCTCTCTTCTCTCTCTCTCTCTCTCTCTCTCCTCTCTCTCTCTCTCGCTCTCTCTCTCTCTCTCTCTCTCTCTCTCTCTCTCTCTCTCTCTCTCTCTCTCTCTGCTGAGTGGGCCATTGTGGAATGAGCCTACGCGAGAACCAGATATGTACCAGTGAGAGGCTGATGAGATGGAATAATGAGGGGATACAATGTATTGTAACATACACGCCTGCAGCAGAGGAGCAGCGAATGCACCACTCAGAATGGAACGCAGCATAAGTGATGCTAAAGGTTTAAAGCATCAATACATGATTATTATATTTCAGCAAAAGCAGATCAGAACATTTATACAGGCAGCATATCTCATGGGGAATCATCACCACCTTGAAATTGTTCAAAAACAGTTTTCCATAGGTAACAGGGCATGCAAATTTTTAGGAAATATGAAGCTTTAGCACTGATAATCGTGGATGATGCAAAACGTCGCAATATCCTTCACAGGACGATCCTACGTGAATACTAATACGGAAACATTTTGGCGATGACGCCAAAGGAAACTTGTATCAAAACCTCGGGTCCAGTCCAGAGTAGTAGTCAATAGGTCAAAAGGTACGATAGGTAAGTAGTCACAGGCGTCATCAGCAGTAAAAAGGTACAATAGGTAAGTAGTCACAGGCATCATCAACAGAAAAAAGGTACAATAGGTAAGTAGTCACAGGCATCATCAGCAGTAAAAAGGTACAATAGGTAAGTAGTCACAGGCATCATCAGCAGTAAAAAGCGCCCATGCAGTCACTGGTAAGAAAGCTAGATTATCTTAATCGTCTTAGAACATATTCAGCTTGCCAATTTTGCATGATTCATCTGACTGTGTATGGAGATGAGATCTGGAGATGTCCCAAGCAGGAACAAAAACACCATATCCCCATTATAGTGTAGACAGACAAACGCAAGTACTAAAAGCATCTAACACTATCCAGTCCAATGGCTGACAAAATTAAAACAGGTACCTAACTGTGTTAGCTGTATAATAGATTCACTGAGTTCCAAGAAGCTTGATGCCAAAGTGATTTAGCTGTTCATCTCTGTTTGACAAAATTTCTGCCACATTTACAGAATGGAAAGTATGCATCACAGAAAAGGGCTACAGTTGTGAGGCCCATCACATCAATAGTTATCATAAAAATGCCTTCATTAACGTTGCATAATCAGCTGGCAGAAAAACGGTCATCTAGTACCTCACATGAAGTGAGAATGTTTCTGCTCATGTGCAATACAAATTCCAACACTTTGTGCCCAGAGAGGTAAACTAACACCCAAGAATAATACATAAGATACATGGTGCATTGGCTAAAGGAAAACAACGTGGTTTCAGGTCTGTATGAAATATCCAATCCATCCCAAGACGTGCGACTTCCGCATACCATACCTGTTCACTTACATTTCAAATTTCTAACACCCTTTCGAAGTGCAAGTGCACACATGACTACAGGGGCGACATGTTAGGGCACACCAAACAAGATTATCATCAACATTATCTTCATCAGCATTACAAAGTCTGCTGCTACGCACAACAGATGTCACTTGACACAAACTGGGCATGTCCCAAACGTTGAACATTTATTTGTATATTGCCGTGATAGTGCCCCGGCAAGAAAACCAAGGCAATTTAAAAGTACAAAAATATGATGCAATGACTGATATAGAATTGATTGGCCCGTATCATAGATCTAACATAGACCAAGAAGGGTGAGTTCCACACCTAACTACCATTATTTCTACAAGTAATAGCGATCATGTATGCTTTCCATGGACCATGGACTTTCTATGGACTATGCTTTCATGGTCCAAATGGACCAAAATGAGGCCTGTACCGAGTTCCTCGTCAATAACCAGTAATGGCTACCTGCCTTAAGAATGTATTGCAAATGAAACTAAAATGGCAACAAGGCTAACATACGTGCAAAGTAAAACCCTTCTTATAGACATGCATGGTAAAGCATTCTTTGAAAAACAAAGGCATACAGTAATTGCTCCGGGAAGTGTAGTGTGTGCTTTACTGACACGTTATTTAGCTTGTAAACAAATAGAAAGATTAAAGCAATCGGCCTAGGAAGAGGGTCGTTCGGCCACGATCAAATTTGTCAACGAAGAATAATCTCTCACATAGTCACCTACAGATATTTCCATTCCCCTTCGGCAGGCCCTGAAATTATCCACTAAATTCATCACGGGTATGCTATGCATGGCAAGTAGTCGTAATTAAGCATGGCGAAAAAAATCCCGTCTCGCCCAAGCCCTGAAAAGTATGCGAGATTTGCCTTCAGCGTGGAAAACTATCTGCGATAATTCTCGGTGTTCGCATGACCAATGCAATTCTGAAAAACTTACACATTCCGGACAATTCTTCTGCTGGCCGAACACGGTGTGCGCTTCAAATTCGATGTAAGCAAATGCGTTCCGGATGGAACAGTTGTTAGCAATATTGTCTTCGACTGGTGTGTTAGATTGTATAAACTACCTCGCCAGACGACGACGACAATCGAAACAATTATTACATCTGTGAAACTAATGTTCCGTCCTTTCTTTCTTTCTTTCTTTCGTTCCGTTCCTAACTTTGTTTCGTCACTAAAACTCTAAACAAATGCGTTGCGTCACTAGTTGTAGTGTTCAGAATTTGCTGCCATTGCTGACGGACTCCCTTATCGGAAGACCATTTGCTCATGCCAACAGTGCTTTCGTGATATTGGCGAAGAATTAGTGGTGGAAAACGTTTTGGATCACGCGATAAGTTTGTACTTCCAATACATTTTTGGGGCCCTTGAAATATCTGGTCAGTGGGAGCGAATTCCTAAAAACAAAGGATATCAGCTGATATAAGTCAAAATTTCCCATAATCCTACGGGCACGATGAAAATTTCCAATTTGACCAGACGCACCCTCCTTAAGATCGAAAGATCAAGTAAAATTGGCGTATTTCCGGCCCGCATATTACACCGAAGGTCTAATCTTAGTACCGTAGGTACAGTCTTATACCACGGAGTCTTGAAACGCATAGGCTCAACGTGGGCCGAGTTGATGAAACTCCGCCCACGACAGGTTGGGCAGACTTGGTAAAAGGCTGCAGTGCGGCTATCTTGCGTATCCGCCCCTCTTTCCTCATTCTCGCGTTATCCTGCATCCTCATGACGTACGTTTGTCCCGGGCAAGCCACGGACACCAGGCATAAGTGGGCTTAAGTGCCCCCTGGTGGGGCTTCGTTCGAGTGCCGTTTCATCCCATATTCGTAAAAGGATTGTTACTGGCCGAAAGCACTCTAACCCATGTCAAACCAAACCAAGTCATGATGAATTTGTGCATGATGATGACAATTTGAGCTGCGCACAGTAAGCAACAGCAGTATCCATTTCATGTTCAGTACAAACGAAGTACTATTGGTTTTATGTCTCGTGCTATTAAGTTTTAATGCAAAGAAAACTTCACACCGGGATCAAGCCCCTGTAATTCCTTCATCGGCTATAGAATCACATATTCCACTGACGTCATCAACTCCTGTCCAATCAGACGGCTCCTGCGCACTTCGCGGCGCAGCTTTTAAGCCAACGTTACGGGCAACGGCGGCTTCGCCGGTATATACCGATGACGTCACGGGACTACATGACTTAGCGGTCTAATCACCGGATAATCGTACCGGTATACCATTCCTTGACCTCAATGACGGCACGTTGTTTGAAAGGGGGCGGGCTTATACCTTAGCCAGTTACGTGCGTGAAAGCGACTGCAGCGCGAAGGAGATAACTTGTAGGAAATTGCTTATTGTTGGTAATGAGCCACTCTTAAGTAAGGAATACACCGCAGGGCGATCTACAAGTAGCTCGAAGAATATGAAGAGCTGGCTGTTGAGTCATGCAACGACGCCTTTGTTTCACGGCTCTGACGATGGTTTTATGTGTCATCACGGCATCAGACTTTCACCTAGTCATCTTGCATCAAAATGACATTCACTCACGTTACGGACCAGTGGACAAATTTGGTATTTCGTGTCGAGGCCTGGATTTCCAGGCAAACGATATATGTCGCGGTGGCTTCTCCCGTGCCGTGGCGTATGTGAAGCGAATTAAGAATGCTACATACAATGCTAACACTATAATGGTGTACGCCTGGTGACTTTTTCCAGGGCGATATTATGCATGTTGTTTTTAAAGGTGAGATTGCCGCAGCCATGGCAAGGCACATGCCCTACGACGCAGTGGCACTCGGCGACAAGGATTTTGACGAAGGCCTTGACGGCTTACTCCCGTTTATGAAAGGCGTCGGGGCCGACGTCTTTATATGTACGAATATACGCTTTGCTGGCCTCAACCAGACCCAAAAAAACGAGTTCGAAGAGTTGTGTCCCCGGCACAGAATCCTTACGGTAGGCCAGAAAAAAATCGGCATCTTCAGCTACGTCCTGCCGGACGTCACCGTAACCGGGCACACGAAAGACATCAGAGTTGAAAATGAGGTGAAGGCTCTAACTAGGGAGATCCGTGTGCTCAGAAAGAAAGGCATCAAGATATTCATCGCGTTGGGTCACTCTGGCTACGAACGCGACCAGGAGGTCGCCCACAAAGTGCCCAGCCTGGACGTGGTGGTCGGAGGCCACTCACACAGCCTCCTATGGCCAGACCCCTTCTCCGAGAGCCTGGCAGGAACGCCGGACGATCCCTTGGACGCGGGCATCCTAAGTGGGCCTTACCCCACCGTCGTGGTACAGCCCAGCGGGCGACGGGTCCTCGTCCTGCAGGCCTTCAAGAGTGGCAAGTACGTGGGTAACATCAACGTCACGTTCAACAGCGATGATGAGGTGAAGGAGTGGTGGTCGCAGCCAGCGTTGTTGCGGAGGGTCATGCCGGAGGACATGGGCGTCAAGAAGACGATGACCGACTTCCTCAGACGCCTGAAAGATGAAGCTAAGGAGACGGTCGGCCATTCCTTGGTGCAGCTTGTCGGGTTGAAAGAGGTTTGTCACATGGAGGAGTGCAACCTGGGCAACATGATGGCCGACGCCTACCTCCGGGCGCTCCGAGTAGGTGTCAACAACAAGGGCACTTTGCTCCCCACCATTGCGTTCGTCAATTCCGGTTCCATCACCACGGCGCTCCCCATGGGAAACGTCACGCTGGCTGAGCTCGCCTCCGCCGTTCCTTACCGTAACAGCGTAGACGTCATCACAGTCAACGGCAGTGCGGTTCTGGCCGCGCTGGAGAACAGTGTGTCGCAGGTCAAGGTGCTGCACGGCCGTTTCCTGCAATTCGCCGGCGTGCGCGTGGAGTACAACATGAGCAGGCCGGTGGGTAGCCGTGTGTATTCGGTACGCCTGCTCTGCAACAAGTGTCCCATCCCCAAATACAAGGCATTGAATAAGTCAGAAGCCTACGACATCGCCCTGTCTACCTACATCGCCGATGGTGGCGATTCTTACGAGATGTTCTTGGAGCCCCTGGACCGGCAGCGGTATTCGCTGCTCGACATGCAGGTGTTGCTTGATTATCTAAAGGACATGTCCCCGGTGCATCCGGCGCTGGAAGGACGCATAAAGATCTTGTCCGACTATAGCAGCTTGAAGGTCGCAAGCGGACAGGCTGGCCAAAGCCAGCTGTTTCTGTCTTTATTGCTGGCGCTCTCGTCGTGCAGTGTCCTTTGTTGTATCAATGTGGAACTCTTCTCCAGCGCTTGAGAAGTGCATGTGTGCTCTCTGGAGCTTGTCTCATAAACAGAAGATACAACTTGCGTCATTCTTTAGTCATGCCGGGTAAGCACGAGGGCCGAAAGCTACCTACTTTTACCGATTCGTCACTTCAATCAATTGTTGGAAAACCATTATCTAAGGTCGCATAGTACTGCTCCCGCCGCATTTCCTTGAACGGTGCCATCGCCAAACGTCGTTAGCAGCCTTTTAGCTTTAAGAAACTGAGCAACGGCAGCCATGCTGAACGTGAAAGTCTGGCGTTGCGGGTACTCAGTGATAATGAGTAAGCCATTGTGACCCACGCAGAGACTGAGTCGTTTACGAAAGGTCGACGAAGAGATGATGCGTCCATATAGGCTGGGCCATCCTCCACTTTGGCATCCGACAGACTGTCCTCCTCCAATGCGGTAGCGTGATGGGCAATCCACACATACCTACAGCACATCACCTGGTCAGCAAGCATTGGCAGTTGGTACTTTCTACGCGTGATCAATGGCATCATTTCCTTTTGTGTCGAAATGTTCTCCCTCGGCTGTCACTTGTTCAAAACATGTTTATGAAGTGTGAGACTGCCGCCCGACTCATCATCTGGCATATGATTTACGTGAGACTCGGCGTCGTGTCATTCTCCGTTCGTTTGTGCAAAGACATTGGTCGATGCACTGGCAGCGCGAAGGCTGTCGGAAGTTCGAACATGAACGTGCTAGGCGACTTCACAAGACGTTTGCATTGACGGAGGCTGCTATTTCGAAAGCCACCCACGTGGGAACACCACTAACGTCATAATGTTCACACTGAATGCTACACATCGTGCGCCCCGTGCTAATCCGGCAAGATAAGCTCTTTAGGCCGGGGTTTTTAAACAATTTCATGTATGAATAGGCTACAACGAAGGGTAGGCTATAGCCTGCGCATGCACCCCTTAAAATGACAAGCTGATGTTGCATGCACAAAACAACAGACCAACTTTGTATGACTTGAATCATAAACGTGCCAATTCAATCCTATTCCTCAAATTTTACGTTTGGAATGCAAGTTGAAAGCAAAGAATCTCCTCCAATAAGCACCTGGCAATTAATCATAGAACTGCTGCAGGCTGGCAAGTTTTGATTTTAACATTTAGCATGCATTCCGTAGTTTTATGTAGAGCAGCAAACAATGTGCGTTTCAATATAACTGATATTTGTTTGGATTTAACTGATATATAACTGATCACCACATCATCTTTCATCAAAGCTGGGCCGCACTTGCATTCGCCGTTAAATGATAAGCGTTTCGGCAGCCGTACCACACCAACTTTTGTCCGCATTCTCCACCTGTGTGTTGAAACTGCGGGTAGAAGCAGAGGTAGGAAACACGCTATCTGTTTGTAGGAGGCAGCTGATTGTGAGCAGGATGCCCGTGGCGTCCGCTGCACGGAGGCTTCCGCTGGGTCCGCCGGTGAACAGATGTCTGCAGGAACATACAATTAGTGCAGCTATTAGGCCTTCGGAGGCTAAATCTCAGCCACCGGCAGCGGGAGCGGTGCGATTAGCAGGCTCACAAACGGTCATTCATGGATTACCGGCAATTACGGAGCCAATTAAGCTGGCATGTCCATGCCAACAAATGGCAGGCGTAGGGATATGGCCGCTTCTCATCTTCGCATACTCACATCACATCATTTGTGACCCTAAAACGCCGTAATTGTGTGCAGTATGACATTAAGTGCTCTTAGGAACTGTTTGGTTAGGTTGGGCCGAGATGAAGATGCGGGAACTCCTTGTTGAAGACATTGTCCATTTAGAACACTCCCAATAACAGCTCTCCTTGTTCCACTTGCAAGCCTTCAATCTGTGTTGTTTGTAACTTAGTGAGTGCATGCCAGTCACAACCAGAAATATTATTCCAGCCAGAAGGACACCAGTATTGCGCATTAAAGGGCTTCTGTGAGCGATGAGCGAAAAACCCAATCACGTTTGCGTCAAACTGCAGCTTATTGCTTCACTCGAGCCGCAAATCCTCCTACCAGACGCCGGTGTGATCAAGCCGGTCGGCGTCGGTGACGTGCAGCAGCACTTGGTCCGTGCCGCTCTCCGGCAGCCGACTCGCAATGAGAGCTGAAAATACCTCCGATCAGACTGTCCACAAGGTCAGAATGCCTCCGCCTCCGATGCCTCCGATCAGACTGTCCACATGCCTCCGATGTGTCCAAATGCCTCCGATCAGACTGTCCACATGCCTCCGATGTGCCTGCCTCCACATGCCTCCGATGTGTCCAAATGCCTCCGATCAGACTGTCCACAAGGTCAGAGAGGGCGTATAAGTGAAAAAGCCAAAGTAAAAGAACGTTTCAAGAGGTGGATCATTTGCTTTGCGTACGCAATCACTCATTTGTCAATGCCCTTCTAGCAACATTTTACGCCTGATTTACGTCCCGAACGTTCGCGATGTGGCAACACGTAAGCCTAAGCCACACTGCGAGAGCCATTACACAACTAGCGTGAATCACACACCAGTGGCACTACATTGATGACAGTCAGTACCTGCAAAGGATTCGTTGTGCTGTTCCTGAGACAGGAAGTCAAAGCTCCCACGCCTCCTAACCGGGCCTTTTCCAAGGCACGTGACGCTCCGTAGATTGTCACGAAGGCAGGTGCTGCGCAGGAAACGCCTATCATCCCCATGCCCGATTTTTTATGGCTGTCCGACGCATCCCACTACCGTTTGTGCTTTAGTGGATCTTGCGCTTCTTCAGCACCGTGAATTGTCTTCACTAGCTGTCGTGAGACATCTTTTACCAGTCGCCGTGAGTTGTCTCAACCAGTCGTCATGAGTTGTCTTCACCAGTCGTCGTAAGACGTCTTTCACCAGTCGTCGTGAGCTGTCTTTCACCAGTCGCCGTGAGTTGTCTTCGCCAGTCGCCGTGAGTTGTCTTCACCAGTCGCCGTGAGTTGTCTTCACCAGTCGCCGTGAGCTGTCTTCATCATCGTGAACTGTGCTATCTCAGCGTCGGGAGCCTTTCAATAAATAATTCATCGCGTCTTTCAAAACTCCCGTCTGCCCCTGAAGTGGTGCAAGTGATAAGAAAACAAAACTTGTAAAATATAATCTTCTCAATGACGTCACGCTAAGGCTATCACTTACTTTGTCTCCCGGTGGGTACCTATCGAGCTTGAGCTGTCGAGCGAGCGAGTTGACAGTTGTCAACTGTCAGCTGACAATCCTACTGCAAAAGCAAAGCGTATTTCCAAAAATGCAAAGGATTTGGAGTCTTCTGACCTTGGTGTCCGCCTGGAGGGAGTAATTTTTTCATTCGTTAGGTTTTCTCCAAGTGAGTTCTGTAGTTTGTTACTCCGTATGCTCTGGGCGACTTTGACGTGACCGTGGTCCACTCGTCACTTTGCTGGGTTGCAGTACGAACAGCCTACATCACTAGAAAAAAAAACAAGTAAATGATGGCAAATAGAAATGTTCCAACTCATTTTCCTCAGCCGGCATCAGCCCCACCCCCCACCCTTCGAGACCCGGCACAGGATGGTGACATGACCTTTGAGCCGAGACTCCAGCCGCCCCGCTGCCCCGCCGCCCCGCCGCCCCTGCGTCCGGCGCCGTCTCCGGGAGTTTCACAGAGTGCGCGGCGCCCCAGAACAGGACGGTAATTTTCCCCGGCGCCGGCCGCTGATGACCCATGAGGATAATTCGGGGTCGGGGTAATGACAACGGCCCATGAGGAGGCCTCCGAGGGGGCCTGTGCGCTCACGTCCTTCCTCCCCCGCTCCCTACATCTGACAGGTAATCAAACACACCCGCCCGTTGATGTGTGCTCGGAGGCGCTTGTCCTTCGCGGTCGGCGCCGCGCAGCCCTCCGGCCCTCGTTCGCGGCATGCCTGCGACGCGATCCGCCTCCAGCGGCGATAAACGCCAGAGTTCGGAGCTTAACGGCCCGCTGGGCTGGCGCTGGACGCTGACAGCATGGACTGCGGCGGTGAGCATGAAGCAGTTGGACGCTGGTGTGACTGCCGTGGGGCAAGGCTTGGTGGTCCGAACGCTAATGCAGTCATTCCGCAGTCGTTTCCTTGGAGTGAACTGCGCCGGCTGCGTTTGCGTGCGGCCCGCGAGGATTCCGGACGGCGTCTCACATCACTCAATTTCCCGAGTCCGAGTATGACGCGCTGCTGGGCGACGCGTGTCTGCCGCACGGTCGCCGAGCCTGGCACGGACTCCGCCGGCCTTTCTCACCCGACGGACACGGGCGGGCAGCGCCGAAAGCCGGCGGCACTCGCCGGCCCATTACGACATTAGTGCCGTTTTCAATTCGGCAGATCTCCCACACGGGGCGACCCGCGGCGGCGGCTTTGTCGCGCGGACGACTAACGGGTCCGGATGGTCCAATTGGCGGCGTTCGTGGCGTGGGTGAGGCCGGCGGTGGCTCCCAGACGCTGCGGGACGCCGCGCCAGCTAACGGTCTCAGTCGGGCTCTCGCAGCAAAAAAGGACGCCTGCGTTCTCGGCGGCGACCCTGTTTGATAGGCCATCGGAGCCGCGGGCTGTTCTAGATGCATGGCAGTTCAACGGCGGAGATGGGAGATGAATAGTGAGCGAGACAGCGTGGCTTCGCTGGAACGGGACGTGTTGGCGGCTTCTTCCTCTGGCTGCTTTGGTTGTGCTGTGTCCTTGAAGCAGTTGCTCGCAATGTGTTTTGCTTTATATATATATATATATATATATATATATATATATATAAACAAATGTTAGGTCTGTGACACAGCCGGGTCCAAATCAAAACCTGTGATTACAGCCATCAGTAAGATCCTTGACCCCTGCTCGATTCCTCACAGGAGGACACATCCTCTGTTAGCTGTGGTCATGGGTCGCGCCCACTTGACCTCTCACTCTGGCCTTTTGCCTCTCTTTCGCGCTCCAACGCCTCTCTTTTCTCGTTCTTCGACCAGCGCTCGACTGTCATTCGCATCGTGCGTAGACAGACCTGTGTCTTTCCACCGTGGCTCTGGCTCTGATAACTGATCCGCCCCGACTCTGGATCCGTTCACCTCGGACCCTTACTCGAGCCCATTCTCGCTCCGATCCAATCCACCCTGAGTCTGACTCATGACTCCGCAACAAATGTACTCTGACTGTGAGGCTCTTTTCCATTCCGACCCCGATCCAAACCGTCCGACTCCGACTCCAGCCCGTCCCGATTACGACTCATGGCCGCTGCGACTCCAGCTCCGTCACGGTGGAGCGGGCCAGGCAGGAAGCCGGAGGAGAAGCCCTGAGGGCACGACCCCTGGCCGCGGCGACCGCCGCCGGCGTCCGAACAATGGCAGAGGCGCCTCCTGCAGCAGATCTGTCTTCGGCCAGCTGACGGGCGAGTGGGGCGGCCTTGACCCCGCGTGCCCCGGCCGGTAATGGCGGAGTCTGTGCGTCCTCGCGACCGCGGCCGGCCGCCGTGCCCGCCGTGATGGATGTGATATTTGGATCGTTCCCAGCAAATTATTGAGACATCGGCTGTAGCGTGGGTAATGGATGCGCGCACACGGTGCGCGTTGGTGTGCGCCGCGGCGGTGTTCACTGGAAAAGCGGAACGGGTTCGTTGCGTTGGCTGTGGGGTTCTGGAAAGGGTGTAGTCTGCATTCCAGTCCAGGGCGGAATGCTGTGTTTTAGCCGAGGGACGCTGTTGGTCGCATTCCACCGGAGCACGTGACGCTACGGATATGTTTACCTCCGGTGGTCGGCGAAGCTAATGCGATAATGGCGGTGCGATGATGCGTGACACTCACCCACAGACCTCTTTTCGTACAGAATACCCGGACCGTCCCCTTCGTGCTTTGCTCGGAACGGATCGCAACGACCGATGGAATGCACTACCAGGGCACACCGGTTGTGCTCCAGCCGACACGCTTAAGCCTGGCGCCGACTAAGATGCCAAGAATAAGGCGACACCTGCACACCGTGTGCCGCTGTAGATTGTCACGTACTATAGGCTGTTGTACATTTTAGCCCCTGTCTATCGCCGATGACTAGGGCGATACGCTACCCACAGTCGTATCTACCTGACCCCTAACGCATTCAGCTACAAGAGCTCAGCACAGCAACACATGTCTGCGACTACCTAACACACCGCCAGGTCGGCATGGTGTGCTCTCTTTTTCTTTGTGCTCGAATGCATCCGTGCAAAATGATGGGATTTTGTGGTGGTGCTGACGCAAGGCACACTTTTTTGCTCTTTTCGGCACTCACTTAAAAAACGGTGATGGCGCAAAGACCTCCGCATATCTGCCGCAAACCATGATGTATTGCGTCTCAAAGTGGTCACCAAAGTGGCGTTGGGAACGATTTATCTGACGTGACCTTAGCATGGATGATGCTGGACGCTAGGAAGACATGTATTCTGTCAGATTCTGCAAATGCTACAAGACTTGGAATATCAATGTTCCAGTCTGATACTTCTTTATGGCGACAAATTTTGCAGAAGTGTCCAAGCCGAGGTTTTCCGAGAAGGCCAGTTGGTGCTGTCTTTAAAGCAAATGCTATTAAATTGCAAATGAGTCAGTCGTAATATACCAGCACAATGTTCTTTCAATGCACGACTTGACGCCATACATGGAATGCGATTGATCGACCTATGGCAAGACAGTTCGCTAAAATTCAAGCATAATTGTAGCTATGAAGTCCTATAGTCAAATGGCAGAGTCACCTTGCTTGCAAACCACATGCATGTGTACTTGCAAGCATCAACCATGGACTCAGTGCGCTTCCGGGAAAGCCTTCCGGACCCAACCTGTCCAGCCCAGCGATTTCACTTTTCTTTTGTGACAATTTGAGCAATGTTATCGAACATTATCGCCCGCCGCAGCCCTCGGCTGTCACCAGCAACACAGACTCCTTTTTGCCACCCCGTTGGTTCCACTTTCTTCACTTTCGGGTCCTTCCTGCCCAGACCATGTGTGAGGGGCACTCAGTGCAAGCATCGCCACCGCTCGGCGCACAGTGAACGCTCAGGATGTACCAGCTCGACGTTCTGGTGTTGGCCACGTGGATTTGTGCCTTGTTTGGGACGTCCTGCACCACTGGGGTAAGGGCGTGAGGTGGAGTAAGAATCGCTGTGGTTGCGATCGCTTGGAATCCATTGGATTCATGTGGTTGCGAGAACCGTTGTTTGTCGGATTTAGGTTTCGCATTTTGTACTTCATATGACATATCTGTAAGGCATGTCTGGCATTAATGGGAGACATTCGAGTCAGATGGTGCAAACTTGCTTTTTCTAAAATCTAAAAGACTCCAGGCCTTAAAATTGAATTGTCTGATAAGCTTAAAAGCAAAACTATGCCTGCGAGGTGACCAAGCAAGCCCGTCAGCTTTGGTCCCGCATAACGACAGCTGAACAATAAGAGGCCAAGACAGTATATACCTCGTCCCATCTGTATCCACAAGAGATATATCGTCACCTGATGACCCCGTGACCTCCTCCAGACACTTCCGCAGCTGGAGGCCAGGGGTCCTATACAGCGGCGCGTCACAGCTGCATTGAACAGATTTGTGAACCTCTTCACTGATGGCCAAGTACCCGAGCCATGCAGTAAGCAATGAGACCCAATCGCAGGGCGTTTTGAGTGTGCCATGATGCGCCTTGCTGTGATCGTCTTTACGCCTCTGGGCGGCGCAGGAATACACGTATTAATGTTAACTATGCGTGGTTTTGTTTTCCCTGGATTGAGATGAGACAGCAGCCTTGCACCACTGAAAATCTTAATAGAGGGAACGGCTAACCCTCTTCTCGTGCGCACTACGTTGCGGCCACCAGTAGCTCCCGAGTCGAACTGCCTGCCAACTCTACAAAGCTGACGTTAAGTGCTCCCAACTGCCTTGGTCGTGACATGTCATTATATGTCGAGACCTGGCCTTTCGAAACGCGCACTTGCTGACTTATCTTGCCTGTCAAGAGTGCGGCGTTTCGAGCTTGTCTGAAGAGGACGCGACAGACATAGATGGCGAGCAGAGAGTTGTCGGCGGAGAACGATCCGGCAGATACGAGTTTCCTTGGCATGTAAGTGGTCCTCACAAGTTATAACAGTCCCTCTTGTGGGTTTGAACCTGCTCAAAGATGTTCATTTTTTTAACAAGGAGAGTACCTTTTATGAGAGCCTGTACTATTACCAATATGTCGAATGGTTCGATGTCGGGCCCTGCTGCGGCAACATTGGTGAACGTTTGCAAACATTTCGACAGCAATGTCAGGACTTTTGTACCAAGCTTCATGAAGTTGCAACTCTGGTCCTGCACATGCAACTTGAAACCGGTCAGCTGTAAAGTCGCCTCAGTTCAGCCTGTTTCGCCGTGGGTCTGTCGCAGTCCGACTCTGTGTTGCAGCAGACCCCCCCCCCCCCCCCCCTCTCCCCGGCCCGACTCTGTGCCGCAGCAGACCCGCCACGGCCCGACTCTGTGCCGCTGCAGACCCGTCACGGTCCGACTCTGTGCCGTCGCAGATCCGCCACTGTCTGGCCCCGTGTCGCTGCAGACCCACCACTGTCCGACTATGTGCCATTTTATACCTGCCGCAGTCCGATCCTGTGTCACTGTGGACCCGGCACTGTCCGATACCGTACGGCTGGGGACCCCCAGGATCCGATCCCCCGTATCACGGTAGACCCGCCACAGTTCGACCCTGCGTCACTGTGGAGCCGTCGCAGTCCACCCGCGCCCGGCAGGTCGGTCTCGTCTCCACGCTCGGGGTGCTACCGTTCTGCGGCGGCAGCCTCATCTCGGACCGGTGGGTGCTGACGGCCGCCCACTGCGTGGCCGAGCGGCGCCCAGCGCGCACCCAGGTTGTCCTGCGCGCGCGCTCCCCGATCAGCCTGCGCGCTCTCCGCCTGCCGGTCGCCAGCATCACCGTTCATCCGAGCTTCGCCGCCGACACGTACAGCCACGACGTGGCGCTGGTCGAGCTGCTGGTGGCGCTGCCGCTGGACCGGTTCGGCGGCGCGGTGGCGCCCATCTGTCTGCCGGAGGCGGGCCCGCCGCCGGCGGACGTGCCCGGCACCAACGGCACCACCGCCGGCTGGGGCGCCTTCTTCGTCGGTGGGTACACCTGCCGCAAGGCACGCTCTTCGCGATGTCAGGCTTTTACTGGGAACGATCTTCGCGCGGTATATTATTCGGGGAAGATGAATGGTTTCTTCCTCGCGTGTACATTGCCCGCAGGAAAGAATACCCTCTTCAAAGATAATTATGACTTAATCTTGGGTGTGCGGGGCTCTAGACCGATAAACACTCCATGAGAAGGATTCCTCATTCATGCTGTCACACTCTGCGTGAAATGGGCGCATCCTACATCAGTGACTGCACACTTCGTGTGCCGCGTTTCTTGCGTTGCCCGTATTGTTTGTGCCAACTTCGTCGTTGCGCTTATGGTCACTGAGCTTAATCTACCCGAATGGGAGCCAACCGTGTGACCACACCGTTACGTGCTGACGCTAAATTCCAACTTACAGTAACTAGTTCCACAGACAGCAAGCTCATTTTCTCTTATTGCGTTCTGAAGCTTGCCATGCCGATGACTTGGAGAGCGGAGTGCGGCCTCAGGGATTCAGGCCCGACCAACAAGGGCTCAATGACCATGGAGAAAGTGTCCGAACCGTGCGATAGTCTCACATTTATGGCCGCATTCTGTGTTTCTTGTCATTCCGTTATGCACGGTCACAAGATAACTGATTTGTCATTTGCATCCAGAGTGTTTCACTGGCGCCCTTCGTGCATCGTAAAACCCTGGCGCGCTGTTTGTTGTCCGTTCGAAGACCTCGTTCAACATTTCCTCGTGGGAACGTAAAATTCCTCACTCCCGAGCGTTTGACGAGCGCCCCGCTATCATGGCATGGTGCACCGCCGCGTCAGCTGCGAAGAGTTCCACTTCTCGCACCCGCTCACGCCTTTCACCACGTCCGTTTCGTCGTCACTTCGCCCGTATGTTCAGTGAATTGCACACCGCCAACGTCCGCGGACGGGGAGGAGGGTCCTCCGCAGTTCCCTCTTCAGAGCGCACATAGTCAATGATGGGCCAGCCAATGTGTTCATGGTCAACCGTTTAAAAGTTCGAGTTCCACGGCGCAGCCAACGTGAAAGTTTGCAAATCTCTCAACTGCAGCAGCTGGATGCGTCGTGAACCAACAATTGAACATCACGTTCGGGCTGACTGGCGAGTTCCTCCTACAAAAACTGTGATTCCTAGCGTTTTGTGGATAGCGCACTCCTCATCTCACGTTGCCCCCGTCGCGTTCGCCATGCCACGCTGCCGGCGCGTTCGGCAGGGAGTCCGCCGGCGGCCGTGCTACAGAAGGTGACACTGCCGCTCATGCCGACCGAGCAGTGTAACGCCAGCCTCTCCGGTCAGATCGACTCCTCCATGGTCTGCGCCGGCGGCAGCCGCTTCTCCGGAACATGCTACGTAAGCGCCGTGGGCTGCTCTCAACAGTCTTGAAAAAGCATTGTTAAAGAACCATTAGGAGCTGGAGACGCGGGTTATCAGTCTTCTGGTGTGGTCGTGCTAGGGGCAACTATGGGGTTTTCTGAGCTCCAGGTACATGTCGGCTCCCGTTCGTTAGGCTTTGACATCAAACCGTCTTGCATTAAACAGCGGTTGTTATTTTCTTGTAAAGCATGTTCCACCACATCATGAGTCTTTTGACATCTAAGGCCCCTGCACACCCCACAACACTGGCCTGGCACTTAACGCGTCCGTCTAATTCGTTGAGACCGTCTGGGTCGACCAAAAAACGCTTTTGGAGAGTCTGATATATATATATATATATATATATATATATATATATATATGCAGCGCAGCGCAGTGTGGGTACCGCCCGGTTCTGACCACCACAAAGCCTACGGTCGTTCAACACCGCATGGCGTGGTTGTCCTCTATACTCTATTATATCTAGTATATCTATTATATCTATTAACGTCTATACTCTAGACTGATTGCCAGGCTCATCACCTCGTGTCTCATATCCAGTATCCATCCAATATCTACAGTATCTGGATAGCGTCCAACCTCAGCGGTCCCTTGACGTCGGCAGGGTGACAGCGGCGGCTCCCTGATGACCCGCAACTCAGAGGGTCGGTACCAGGTCAGCGGGGTCAGCAGCTGGGCGCGTGTCTGCACCATGCTGGGACACCCCAGCGTGTTCGCCGACGTCACAGGTCGGTCGTCAGCCGGGAGCGAGGGGGGGGGGCCTCGCCTGGGGGTATGTGGCATCCAGTGGTTGTATTTTATATCTAGTATCTGTATCCAGTGTCTATAGTATCTAGTCAGCCAGGACGTAGAGCAGAGAGTAAAGAGTTGGTTAGTCAGAGTGTGTAATGCGAATCGTGATAAAAATAATACAGCCCCTTAGTTGCTAACAGTGTATGGTGACAGTGACTTTTATTGGAAATATTTGTGCGGTGTGGTGCTGTTTCGAAATCGGGTTACGCCAGAAAGAAATACAAAATTTTAAGAAAAAATGGTAGAACAATTTATCTGGCATCGAAAGATTTAGAATACGCTGTCTAAAAATCGCAAGTTTGACCACAAGATCATGATGTGCGTTCGTAAAAGTCCCGAAGCTAGCGCGATTCTTTGAGGGTTGCATTCGGACCTCCGAGCCAACTCGTTCGTTGCAGGAGTGACCAACTGGATCCAGTACACGACCGCCGGCTCGCGTTACTGTGGAGCGTGACTGGCTCACGCGCCAGCGGCGGCTCACCTCGTGCCCCCAGCCCTCCAGCCCTTCAGCCCCGCCTGTCTGACGCCCGTGCACGACCGGCAAGGCGTTAGGCCTGAACAGATGCTCGCCGAGCCTCACTGAGTTGTTACTAGTCTTCGTGTCGCTGTCGCCCATGCAGATGAGCTGAGTTTTTGTGGCTGGTCGTTGTTTACCGTTTACGTTACAGGTGCAGCGCTGCGTCACTTGAATACAGATTCGCACTGACTGGCATGTGTTTGGCCGAAGCCTTGTCAGATCTAGCCGTTGTCGCTGTTGACAGCAGTCGCTGTCCGCCCCTTGTCTGTCCTTCGATCACAAGAACATCCGTGCCGGACCCAGTGCACTTAAGCAGGCAGCCACAGCCTGGTTCAGGCCCCCCCCCCCCCCCTGGCCAAAGCCCATTGAGACTGCGCCCACGCTACCCGACTAGGGCATACCCCACCCCCCCACCCCAAAAAAAGAAGAAGCATCGTGGCATCACGTGCCGTCCGAGCAGCCGCCGCCGACGGGCCCGCGGCTGAGACCGAGGTCTCGACCCAGCCACGCGACAGCCGGCGCCACGCGCGGCGTCGGCGTCCGGCCGTCGGCTCAGGAACCGGTCGGGATCGGGTCAGGAACCGGTCGGCACCGGGCGGCTGCAGGCCGGTCGTGGCCGCGGCGGCGTCGGGTCAATACCAGCCCGTGGTCATCCAACGGCGGGGCGCCGCGAGGGCCCAGCGGCGGCTGTGGAGCGCCGTCTGGGGCTGTGGCTCTTCGGGGCATGACACCATTGATGCACGGAAGGATAGAGGAAGATAGACAAGTCAAAGGTTATCGCCATCGATGTCGGCTAGTGATCAGCGCCGTTCGCACATGCGCAAAGCAAGTGAGCTGAGAGGATCCGACCAGCGTCTCTAAACCAATCACAGCGCAGCTTTTCTGAAGAGCAGTCAGGAGTTTTTGGGTATCGCGTCCGTATCTGCCGGCCTGTCACAGGCAGCTGGTTTGTTCTGTCCAAGACCGGGGGAGGAGGCGGGGGGGGGGGGGGGGGGAGATAATATATTATCCGACGCGGCGGGCAGTAATGTGCCTGTCCCGCACGGAGGCAGTCTGGTGTCCATTGGTGACATAAATATGGACATTGGAATGTTCAAAACCCAAACGTCTCGACATCCGATTTCCATACAATGAGCAAAAGGGCTAGGGAGGCGCTGCGTTCACTTCACGCCGCTGCGTCCCGTCTGGAGTCTTGAATGAAATATGACCGTTTGGCAGCCAGCTTGTCAAAGGCAGGCTACCTCGCTGGCTTCTGTTACGGGAAGTAGAATGGGCCCATAGATACTGTTATACTGTTACAACTTTTTTATACTGTTACAACTGTTACAACTTTTTTAGTATTGAAAGGCAGGCAGCTCTGTGACGACCTCGTGGTGAACTGCGCCGGGATGTCAGCGACGACACTCTCGAAGCTGTCATTCTTGCGATCGACTTTTAAAATGGCCTGCCGTTTTCTTTATTTCAATAATTAAGGTCTCCTCGACGTGAAAATATGGCAGCTCGTGGACCATTTTTGCAAAAAGTACACTAAAACGTGATGAGAAAAAGAAAACGTACCAACACAAGTACGCGCAACTCATCCTCAATATAGCACTGCGCACTCCCTCCTCATATGTATGCATATATGTATATATATATATATATATATATATATATATATATATATATATATATAGGAAAATATTCCCTTCTATGCAAAAGTTGTAAATGACAGCTTGTTTCTCGGGCAATATCGTCTTCACGTTCTCGATCTTACGGACACACTTTCGAGTGCTCAAGAGATTATAAGAACAGTAGTGTAGGCCTTATTCCTCGTTGAATAATGATTAGATGAAAAAACGGAAGTATTTTGACATGATACTTTGACAGCAGGGTTTTGTCGAGGCATTGATGAGCAGTGAGCTGATTCAGTGAGCTGCCAACTCGTTCATCGATGTTTCGACAGACGCTTGAAGCCAAATTATCACATCGGCAAGCTTTTTAAACTTAGTTATTATTCATTGATGCCTAGGACCTACAGCATTGCTCTTTTGTATCTGGCATGCCCCTCGCAGTTTCACTAAACAACATGTTTAATTCAAGGAATGATCTACGATATTCGACATTGGTTTGACTGCTTCATTGCGCTAACGCGATGAGCTTCACGGATCCAGGAACTCAAGATCCCCGTGGTCAGATATACGCCTGGTTATGTATTATATGTCAGATGCATGCCTGGTTTGGGATCACAATGAGTGTGCGCCCCTTCACGCACGTAACCCCCTCAGGGGAGTGGGCAGCCTGCCTGCCATGAAAGGATCTGCACATAGGACGCCAAAAGCGCTTGCCACCAGTGCGTCGGCCCAGCGTAACTTAGGAAAAAAATTTGGTAGGAAGCGAGATGAAGCAAGCAAGATATCCGGAATGTGCCACAGACGGCGCACTGAACAAATTTTCATGAAGCAAAACAATGGCGATTGATTGTCAACCGGCCAGTCTTGCCAGGAACAGAAATTGCAACAGACTAAGTTTTTGGCTAAGCCCCTGACCAAAATGTGGATTCAAATATTCATCGAATGACCTAGAAGCGTTTATGCTTTTAGAACACGAGCTTCGCAACGTACAGGAGCACCGACTCCGCGCAGCACAGTCGCCCGAACTTGCGTAAATCTGAAGTGCTCCTGATACACGGAAAGCGGTTAGTTCTGACATTAAGGTCATTATCGCGCGTATCGCGGGCGTAATTTGCGCCCCGCTGGCACTCGTTATGCGGGGAAAGTACAAATCGTCTCGTGAGGCGATACAACCATTAGCGGAGATACTTAGGTGTTAGTGAAGTCATTTATAACGCAGATGCGTCTTCGGCACCCTTCAATTAAGTGCAAGTTATTCTTGTAGGTTGTCCGGCATGACTTAACGGATGGTGGGTCCACCTTCGCGAACGGCCGCATGACAGCGATGTGCCCTTGGCTTTCGCTATCGGTCTTGCGAAATGACGAGAGGGGCTTATTAAATCTTTACACCTTCGGTGATGCTATATTTCAAACGTAGCAATCTTGTACAAGGAAACATTTCATTGTAGTCAGGCTTTGTAATTTTGGGTGACAGGACAGTGGCTATTAATGGCAAGCAATTATGTGAAGTGCATCGAAATCACAATCTGTCCTTCAGCTGGAGAAATACCATATAACAAGATAGGAGCAAAATGTATTCGGATTAAGGGACAGCACTTCGCCATGCAAGCGCTCTGAAAATTGTACAGAGCGTACTCTGGAAATCAAAGATGAAAATATCTTTCAAACATTGAAAGAGACAAAAGCCTTTGAAGCGTCACTCAAGGCAACCCAATACTCAGCGTCACTGCACATATGCCTCCCAGTGGCCCAGCTGCAGAGCGGCATTGGGCAGTGCGGGGTACGGGCCAATCGGTGTGGCGTCCGTCCATTTGGCTGTGACGACAGACTTGTACTGGAATCGGGATGGAGTCAGAATCGACCTGGGAATCAACCCAGTTTTTGATGGGTTGACTGGGTTTATGGTTGGGTTTACATCATCGGCGCAATACAAGGCTGATGTATTGCGCCGATGATGTATGGCGCAAGCCTTTATTTTGAGCATCCTGAGTTGAAGTCGCCAGGGAATCTGATGTGATGAAGTCTCCATTGGAGTTGATCTCGGCATTGTATCTTTTCTTCTTGATCCGGAATCGGATTTGGTCACGAAGTTGTGTTGTGTTGCTTGGAGTCGGAATCGGAATGATTTTCATGCTCTGAAAGTTAGAGTTGGAATCGATTCCACTGGTGCAGAATCAAGTGCAAGTGATGTACTAGGAAGCATGGCACTGGTAGCGTAGAAAGCAGTGAGCGCTAAATTGCGCCATAATAGCACAGCCTTCAATTACGATGCTCATAAAACCTATACAAGGTCTCACTAAATTGCATCAAGCTTGAGCGGACAGAAGAAAACCACGCAGACAAAGAGATCTGAACACCAGCATGTAGTTGAAGCATCCGTTGTACCAGCATGATACAAAATATCCAGCATGCGGTCATTCACCAGGGCCGTATCTACCGGAAATGCGCCAACCTTTGTCATGGTGCTAGGACGCGCATGACCGAAGTTTAGCTTTATGCCTGCGGCTCGTGCTCGGCGTACTACACTTCTCAGAAACCACCGCCAAACATTTGCGATGTCTGGAGATACCACATGGCGTGGGTCATGCATGGATTACGGCCCAGCTGTGCTGTCAGAACAAAGAGGCACTGGAATTCACTTGGGCATATTATTGTACATTGTATGGTCGTGTGCTGGTCAAACGACCGGAAGAATACAACGGTGAACAGACGTGTAATTAATTTGCATAAAGATGAGCTGTGTGGGCGATGGTGGAAACGAGGTTGAATGCCATAAACGAAACGTGACACAACTACTTGCTCTTTGAGCGGGTGAGGTGTTTGTAAAAGCCTAAGACGCTGCAGATTGTCTGTTTCACAATCGCGCATTGCGCAATAAATGAGCCATCTTCGACCACATGCTTCGACTTCAAAGGTGGTTGTACCACATTGTCCAACAAAGAAAAAACGCATGCAAAATGTGCATGTCGAGGCCGCATTCCTATTCGCGCCTTTTGTCTTACGATGAAATCGCCAAACGGACCTCCATCATGCCATTCTCCGAATCGCCACATGCCGCGTGAAACGGAGTTTTCAAGCAAGCCTTCGGTTCGGTAAAAAAACCTCTGAGACAGTGTTTCCACATTATTCAGGCTGCCGACTCATCCGCCCTCTGTCGGCGAGCCACAAAAGATGCATTTACAAGGCAAACAACCGCTGCAAAAAGCCGGGTATGGAAATTTCGTCAGCCGATATCCTCGACAACGCAGCTCGTCTCGCAAACAAGTCGCGTGCGGGTTCTTTTCTCGCCGTGATGGAATAAATAAGCCCGCATCGCAACCCGTCCTGACGGAGGCTGCGGCGTCGAGGAGCGGTCGCCCCTTCGTCGGGTTACCACCGCCCGCCTGTCCGTCCTGCGCTCATTAATTCGGCGGCGCGGCGTACGCTGCGATGAGGCCACCTGTAAAAACAGGGGAATCCGGCCAAAAACCTTCGGAGCGGTGATCAAAAATCAATAACCGGCTGGTGGCGTGGTGCGAGCCGTCGGCGGCGAGCGGGCCGCGCGGGATCGGCGAGGCTCCATCCCTCAGCGCTGGCAGCGCGCGCTGACGGGCTGGCCTTGGCCTTCGGCGCGCCAGCTCGACTTGGAACGATCGAAAAGTCATTAGTTCCGCGAGAACCGCCGATACGCGCCCATTATCGCCGGAGCCCGCCTATTAGAGCGGCCGCGCCGCGGCAGCGATGTGCAAATGTTCGCAGTGCAGGTCACGCGCGGGAAATAAATGGACTCGCCGGCCGCGGGGGAGGCCCCACCGCCGCCGGCGACGGCAGGACTGGCCGCCGGGCACAGGTGAGGCAGAAACCGGCTCGTAGCCTGCACGTGTTGGAGCGGCGTTCCGAGAAGAGTTTACACAGCCATTTTGTGTGGAGCAGTTTACAGGGAACGAGATGCTTTACGGCCTGGTAATGCGAGGGAACAGAGTCGTTCTCTCATGTCCGCCACACGTGCACGGCTCGCAGCCTCAGGCAGTTCGGCTTACCGCCGATACCTTGTGTTTCCGCTCGGCAGTCCGTTCCTAAAATGCATGCAGTAGGCAGAATGCATTACGAGCCGAGCTTTGGAAGTTACTGAAGCACGTCTTCTAACAGAAGGTACGAGAAAGCCTTGATGCGAATGCAATGCCAGGTGCGAAAATGTCCGGAGGAACGCTAGCAGGCAGCTTAACAACTTGCAGCAGTAGACAAGACGTTAAAACGAGTAGCGAACGCGGCTAATGTTAGCAGACAATAGCATCGTGAGTCAGTTCGATCACGATAAGATCATCATAGCTTCTAACCAGCACGGGATCACATTCGATGCCGAGGCCATCGTGGAGACGATGCTGCTCCCGCAGACGATACTTGTATTTGGTACGAAAGTTCCAAACGTCGAGTATAAAAAATAAATAGCAGGACGGTGCTAACAGATTTATCATTAAACAACATGCTCGCAAACCCGAACAGAACGGGACGGGGCCATCGTTCCGCTGCACTGTGTAGCGTTCTTTTGAACTATTCCGACCATGTCTGACATCGCACCTGCATGGCTATTTTTAGACACGCTTAGCAGAAAATGTCATCAGCACTCACCTAGATCATTGCCTCTGGCGTTCATTGAAAAAGCGTCCGCTGAGATATTCATTCCTACACTGAAACAAAACAAGTCAGATCTTGGAGCCCCAAACGCTAGCGCCACTTTCCACCGATTGCTGGTGCTTTTACCTCCTGCACAGTCTCGGGGTCAGGACGGAGTTCCAACCACTCCCTGCTAACCGCTGTCAGCATGTAAGTAGATGCGTCAAGTTGTCTGCAATACGTGCCTGCCTGTGTCCCACGAGCCTCCGCATATGCGTTCGGTTATAGGTAGTGAAGGAAAAACTAACCTTTGTGCACTTTTACACGATTGCCTCGACGATTTCCGGACGATAGCGTCAACCCCACCACCCTGCCGACTTCCCAACGACTCCCAACATCTCCCCATCTCAGGCTTCCCTTGCCGTCGGATGACGGGTCGTTGTCCCCTCCCCTCCCCTCGCCCCTCCTCTTCCGCAATCGGCCGCCATCTCGGCCGCGCCGCCGCAAAACACAGCCCAGCGACCGCCAGCGCCGGCCAGGCTGTTTGTGCCCCATTTTCTAATTAACCCCATCGCCCGGTGTTTTCTGGCCGGCGGCGGGCGCCGGCCGAGGGGTCGCGAGATTGGGCTCGCGCCCAGCGCCCCCGGGCGGCGCCCCGGGCGCCCGGCCCGGCCCGCTGATGGTGATGGATCCCGACGGCCGGGCGCGAAACCCGACAGCCGGACAATGAGCGCGGCGAGAGGCGACGCCGCTGCATGGCGGGCGGCGCGCCGCGGCGAATCGGTCGCGTCTTCATACACTGCGCGCCCCGGCCCCCGCGCCGGCGGCGCGTGCTGACGCTGGCTTTAGGACGTCCCCACACCACCGCGCTGTGCGACGTAGCTTCAGGACGTCCCCACGCCACCGCGCTGTGCGACGCGGCTTCTGGACGTCCCCACGCTACGGCGCTGAGCGGCACGGCCGCCGCGAAGCGAGCTGCTGAGCCAACTCGAATTCCGCGAGCCGCTATCGCGTGGCCTTGGCGAGCGCCGCCGCCTTGTTTCCCCAAGGTGGCCGGTGAATTATTATAGGAAAAACACTATTCATGATTTTAAATCAACACGCAGGCGATAACCCTGAACCGCAGTGGGGACCCGTCGATTTTTTATATCGGAGCGTCATCGCTCCGCGGTCAGTAATTAGGGTGGTGCGTGGGACCGCCCCGATGTCGCCCGGGCGCACCCCGGGTCACTCAAGGTCACCAATGGGGCGTAATGACGACACGCCGGTCGAGACTAATGAGCCACTCTCCCCGAAAGAAACCCCAAAAGTTGGTGTCGTGAGTGTTCCCAGCCGATTTCATCTGACTAAGCGTCTGCAGCTGCTTACAGAGGGCGGTTTGAGGCCAATTATCGTCGTCATCTTGAGCGGCCTCAATCTGGCATCATCCACCTGCTGGCACGGAAAGTCGGGGCGGACAGGTACGCAGTTATCCCTTGGGTCGGCCTGGCAGGCGGCGCTGCGAGGTCCGGACATGTGCTGTCTCGCAGACGTTTAAGGGCAATGACGTGTATGTTTCATAGCAGGGGAGCAACCAGAAACTCACTTAGGGGGAACCAAAGCTGGTTGTAGTGGATCCTTGCAGGCTAGGCGCCCCTCTTCGTAGCTTAACGTCCCTGTTTTTTTCTGTTCAGGAGCTATTTTAGATGTTGGACCTCATTGCGATTTCTTTGGGATCCCTTGCGTACGCTTCAGGGGCTCCTAGGCCTTAAAAACTGCTGACAAATATCGGTGCATTCGGCTCCAGAGTGACCCAATGGCCACAAAGGTGGTATGGTATGAAGGCATGGCCGTCGGCTACGCCATTGCCGCATAACGCTTCACTGAACCCCAGATGGGAAAACCGGCAGCCACATATGTCAGCTTTCAAGGACACTTCGTTCTGTTGTGATAGAACGCTAAGCAGTCAGGTTTTCTCTTACAAACGTAAAAACTCCAAGGATGCTGGCCAGATGTTAGGCCAGACCATATGTACGACGCCTCGCGGCTCCTCTCCGGCTGTTTGGAATGTGCACGGTGCCGATGCTGTGCCATTTGAGCCCCCTGGCTTTGCTTGCCACGTCTCGGTAGTGAGCTCCGGCAGATAGGGGTCTGAAGTTTGTGATAGTACACAACCGCCGGCCCAGGTGGTAATGAGTACGGCATGACTATTGATCTTCCTTTCTCACCTCCAGGAGAATAAGAAATGAGCAAGAAATCTAGAAGTCTGGGAACAAAACACTAGTTGTCAGCTGCCGAAGCGGTCTAATGTATGCAGGCCGGCAATAAACAAGCTGAGGAGTCGGGCACACCCGAAAACACTGACAATTAACGGTATTCTGGTTCAGTCGCCGTGAAGAGCGATGTAAAAGAGGGTGCAATGCAGAACTGCCATAGTTATCCGTATGGGAGGAATGCGTCGGCATCTACACTTGAAGGCTTTCTAAGGAAATTAAAACAGCTGTTGCGCGAGCTGATGCAGCCGGATGTTCCAATGACGTCACCTGACGCCTACGCCTAGCACGAGGCACGCACATTCTCGCAGCATGCAGCTATGGCTGACTCCCTGGTATGCGATGGACCAGGGCGTTCTCGCTGCTGAGACCCAGCAGATCTCTCACACTGTTCGCACGTGATCGGAGCGCTCCAGAAGATGGTGCTGTGGGCCTGCCGGTCTGTGACCCCGGCTGACCTGCCGACGCGCTCCACTGCCGCCGGCCGGAGACATTGGGCCGAGCCGCCGCCGGCCGCGCCCCGGGAGACGGGCTCCCATACGGCGGACGGCGGGCGGCTTAGTCACGGGTCCACGCAGGTTAATTGGCGGCCCGTGCGGCGCTGGCCGGACGCCGCGGCGGCCCTGAATGCTGAGGCTCCCCCCCCCCCCCCTCCGCTCTCGCTCTTTCTCGCTTTCTCGCTCTCCCCGCCGGATGCGTTCCGACTTCCTCATAATGTAAATAAGTTATTCGAGAGATGGGAATCAAATGCCTTGATCATGCAACTATATCTGGATAACTTAGAGCTAAATGACCAGCACAAACACTGAAGCCGGCACCTGCAAAGTTTCAGCCACCACTCTAAATCTTGGTCGTGCCGTGCCAGCAACCACCCAACACAAATTCAGTGCAGGCATCGTACGCTGCTCTCTGCAACAAACATTATGCAAACGCGTGTGCCGCCTAATCACCGGCTTCCTGCTGGTTGTTTTCCTCGTTTGCGCTTTGTTCCTCGGTTTCCGGTGGCGGTGGCATCACTGCGCCGCCCACCGTCCTATTGACGGCGCTGTTTGGACCTGACGATGACGTCACCGCGCCACCCACCGCCCTATTGACGGCGCTGTTAAGACCTGACGGCGACGTCACCGCGCCACCCACCGCCCTATGGACGGCGCTGTTTGAATCTGACGGCGGCGTCACCGCGCCACCCACCGCCCTACTGACGGCGCAGTTTGAACCTGACGGGTGGCGTCCGGGTTTCTTGTAGAGGCTCGGCAGCGGACGGACGGACCGTTCCGGTCGCAGCGTCCACCGCGGGCTGACGTGTGCACCCCGAGATGACGTCGAGGGCGAGGTGCAGGCAGAGCTGACGTTGTAACAGCCGCGATGCAAGCTGCGATGCAAGCTGCGATGCATTTCAGCGAGCCTCGCTTGCTCTTTTTGTTCCGTACTTTGATTGTGTGATTGATTCCGGACTGTGCATGTCGAAAGGATCTAGACAAACATCGCTGCTGGCAATCAAGCACCTGCCATGGCATGGTTGATGAGATGATCGATTCCATGGTGTCCTCATTTGACAGGGAAATTCAGTGCCTCAGAGCCTGGATCTCTCGGCTGCACCTGCCACGGTGAATCCCCCTCCTGGACAGTGGACATGGCCTCTCCCAGTATCCGGCAGACGACGCGGCAGCGGAAAATTAGAGGACAGCTCTCCACTCGATCGGAGGATCTCCACCGATCCACTTGGATCGATGGATCTCGCACCGTTCTTCGGGCTCTGAGTCGGATCGGATGGCCGCAAGCGTCAGGTCTTCTCCCCCCCCCCCCCTGTGGGGTGCAGTCGGACCGCTCTCGGCGTGGTCCCAGGCGCTGTTTGCTCTCCCACCCGACCACGCCACTACACAAGGCGCACGCCCGCAAGTCTGAGACTACAGCTGCGGAGGCGCCTTAATTAGTGCGACACTGCGACGTGCAGGGCTGTGACTTCACCGCTAACCAGGTGGTATCACCGCGGCCATCTGTCTAGCGCGAGCCAGAGGCGTAGCGAGGGCCGCCCAAGCTAGAGTCGCCGCGAAGACAGCTCCGGATCCTTCGAACAACCTCGTCGTCTGGAAACTAACATAACCATGGGAAATTTCGAATAAAACGCTCACAATTAATTACATACTGCAGCGTTTCAAGTTGCCACTCCCCAACAAGCACCGGCCTCCTTGTTTTGGAGTGCGGGCTCGCCCCTGTCCGCGACACACACCTGTCGTGGGGCGGGCGGGCGGGCGGGAGGGCCCGTCGGCAGCGTTCCCAGAGCGGCGGCGCCGGCCGGAAGCGATCCCACCTGCGGCCAACCGAAGACAAACCGTCAGTGCTGGCAGCGGCCGGCCGCGTTCAAACAGGCCCTGATTACGGGCCCGGAAACGGGCCGAGAACAGCCAGAGACGGGCGCGTGATTCATGGGGGCTGCGATAGGGGTGTTTGGCAGCTGCCTTCGAGCTGGGGGATGGGAGGCAGGGGGAGGGAGCTCAGCCAAAGGTCAGACCTCGAGGGCGTGAGGGCCACGCAGAGATTTAGCGCGTCTGGCTAACAATCCGGAATGCTGGAGAAGTGGGAATCTATCGAATCAATGGAAGGAACATACAGAAGTTCGAGATCGATTTTTGCCGGGCCTGACAATCTCAGGTGCCTGGCATATGTTTTTTGCATATAGAGTAAGAACTGGGACGCGATGCCAGGGCTGTACGTACATTTAGATAATCATGATACGAGTCCTAATCACGGACCATCGAGCATTGCCGCTGGTCATTGACGACCAATCACACACCGTAGAAAAATGAACCGTTGTAGCATTGCCAGTTCCGCCTCTTCCATGCGAGTCACGGTCCCCTGCCACGATGTGAGAGCTCCCTGGCCATGTAAGCGATTCGGTGATGTCTTACCTTCTCGTGTCGATAGAGATGTACGATGACAGAGCATGGCGCAATAATCGCATTGCACCGTGCTTTACAGATGACACTTAGCATTCAATGCATCGTGCATTCGACTTATCAAACTCTATTGATTTATCCCCGGCCTATTATCAGGCATGAAAGACACGTTAATCACAATCAACATATTAATTGGCAATTAATCGCGTGCTTTGTATGCAGCTGATATCGCAA